TCAAGGGAGGTGATGTTACATTTATATAATTCCTTGGTAAGACCCCACCTAGAATATTGTGTGCAGGTTTGGTCACCATACCTTAAGAAGGACATTGTTGCCCTAGAAAAGGTGCAACGGAGGGTTACGAGAATGATTCCTGGTCTTAGAGGAATGTCTTATGAGGAGAGGTTAGCTGACCTGAATCTGTTTAGCCTTGAGCAAAGGAGATTAAGGGGGGACATGATCCAGGTCTATAAGATTCTAACGGGTCTGGATGCTGTTCAGCCAAATGGCTATTTCAATATTAATTTAAATACTAGAACTCGCGGAAATTAGCGGGAGAACATTTTAAAACAAATTTGAGGAAGCACTTCTTTACACAGCGTGTAGTTAGAGTATGGAATAATTTTTCTGCTAGTGTAGCGGAAGATAAAACCCTGGGTTCCTTTAAATCAGAGCTAGATAAGATTTTAACAACTCTGAGGTATTAGTTAAGTTCTCCCCAAACGAGCTTGATGGGCCGAATGGCCCCCTCTCGTTTGTATATTTCTTATGTTCTTATGAAAGAACGAGACTGAGAATGATACAAGTGACTGAAATGAGTTTCCTCTGCAGGGTGGGTGGGCTCAGCCTTAGAGATAGGGTAAGGAGTGCAGACAATCAGAAGGGGCTTAAAGTTGCTCCTCTGCATCAAAAGTAGCCAGTTGAGGTGATTCAGGCAGCTTTCTAGGATACCTCCCGGATGGCTCCCTGGGGAAGTATTTTGGGTATGCCCAACCAGGTGGAGGCTCTGGGACAGACCGAGGACACGCTGGAGAGATTATATCACTTGGCTGGCCTGGGAATGCCTTGATATTCCTCTGGTAAAACTGGAGGAGGTGGCTGGTGAGAGGGAGGATTCCCTCCTTACACTACTCCCGACCCTGAATAGGAGGAAAAAAATGGATGGATGGATGGATGGATGAAAAAACTGAGCAGATGGAATTATTTTTGTACCTCAATTACGTTTAATCTAGCAAATGATTTTTTTTTTTGTCTGTGCCAAATTTATTCATCAGAAAATGCAGTTGATACCCAATATGCTTTTGTCAAATATCGCCAGTACTGGTGTTTAAACTTGCCAGCGCTTATTAACAGAATATATTAAGTTGCTTTTATTCTGTGAAACCTAAAGATCAATCTGCTGACCCGATGTAATAATGAAATATAAACATGTCTTGGGTCATATGAATAAAATATAAGTAATGGGCTGGTCCTGTGTTGATTGCAATCATCCCCCCCCCCAATAACTATCAAATAACTAACAAAACAACTTGTTAATCCTCCATTGTTTTGGAGTCAGAACATGATGAAGAAGTGGGGAGTTTGACTTGCCCTCCTAGGTCGCTGTAGGAAGTGAAGATGCTACTGCGCCTTCTTAGCTAAGAAGTAGGAATTGAGGGACCAGGTGAGGTCAATTATAGCAGGTGTACCCCAAGGTACAGCAGAGGATATGACATCCTTGTCGTTACACCCCTAATGATCACTACTGTCCTCTAATTTTCCAATCCTATCCTGGTTGTTAGAGAAAACAAGATCAAGAAGGGCTTCTCCCCTGGTAGGGGTATTAAATGGTAAATGGACTGCATTTATATAGCACTTTTTACTTTTTACTACTCTTACGAGTACCAAAGCGCTTTACAGTTATGCCTCACATTCACACTCACATTCCAGAAAAATCCAGAGAACATGAGAAAACGGACTGTTACTTCTGTTTCGTTTCATGGCTTTTATTTTGAAAAGTTGACAGCGGAAACGGAACAATGTTATATGGGCGGAAGCTTACCCTTACAGTGTTAACGATGGTGTTCATGGATATCTAAGTAAGTTTATTTTTGAGCTTGCTGAAAACGATGGACTTCAGACAGCTAGAGCTAAACCCAAGGATTATAAGTGCGGCCAAGAAAGGTATTTTTCATGCATTTGGCTCATACCACCAATATTTGAGCCCTGATTTTATTTGTGCATATCATTGCATCTTAATGCTAATTACTGAGCTCTGTTTTCTTCCTTCAGCGAACTTGAGATCAGCGCGAGACATCTTGGGTCTGTCGGGTCCAGATCTGCAGCGCCTGACTCGACTCTCCATGTCCGACGTGCAGCGTTTGCAAGCCGCTGTCGCTGTCGCCTACCGAAGGTCGCCGCCGGTTACTGGTACTTCCCAAAGTTTTTACACAGCTCGCTGATACGACGTATATGACTCACAGTCGTGCTTATCCGCCTGTATAATTAGGCATTTAACGGGAAGTATTAAAAGTTAACGTATGCAATGCAGCACTGCAGCTGTATCGAGGAGAGTGTCCGGCTCTGGAGCCTCGTCACCGGCTGACTTTGGGATGCCCGACTCTAGACCGTCTGATGCGCGGAGGAATCCCGCTGAGCGGCATCACGGAGCTGGCAGGGGAAAGCGGCGCTGGGAAGACGCAGATCGGCCTGCAGCTATGCCTAACTGTGCAGTACCCTCAGGTGCATGGGGGACTGGGTTCGGGTAAGGTTACTGAAGTGGAGAGTGTCATCAGTCAGCACCATACCTGTAAAAGAAGATGACTTCTAACCAGATGATTTGCCCTGCATTTGTATCAGCATTTAAAGTATTTGACCTGAATTTGTTGTTTGAAGTAGCTCAGTGGATAGTACAATTGCCATACATCTCCAGCACTGGGGTTTGGATGTTTCCCCCAGTTTCATGTTGGTATTCTAATGGGGTGCTTAGACGTATGCAAAATCAGTTCACTTTGACCATACTTTGAAAAAAGAGCTTTCCAATGAGCTGTATTTAAGCCATGCTGCTGTAGTGCTTAAGAGAGCACATAAGAGAGCACTATTTGCATTATATCACAAAAGGAAGTTTTTTTTTCTTTTCAAAAATCTTTTCAGAACTCTGGAAGGTATGTGAAATTCATATGGCAAATTTCGTCCAAATCAAAAATGTCATCTGGCATATCTAATTGAATTTAAATACATTTGTGTGCTTGCACCACAGGGGCTGTTTACATCTGCACAGAAGATACCTTTCCCATCAAGCGGCTTCGCCAGCTCATTACCCAGCAACCTCGGCTCAGGCCAGAGTTGCCAACAGACCTTCTGCATGGCCTTTGCTTCAGTGACAACATCTATATTGAACACGCTGCAGACCTGGTGAGGCAGCAGCAACCTCTCTGTGTGTCATTCAGGCCTTGTGAGTCGTTTGCTGAAGATCGTGTTACACTATTACTAGCATGTTTTATATTGCCTAGAATTTTATTTATAATATATACAACAAGGGGCTGGCATAGTTTCAAGGTTCAGTTCTGTATTGTTATGCCACGGCTTGGGAAATACTTTTTCTTATTGGTCCTAAGATGTCACATGGGTGATTATTTTTGTGTAACCGCACAGGTAGTCCCCGCAGTCTAACAACAGTTTTATGTTAATGCGTTTTAATGGTTTGTTGCACATGTTAATATAAAAGCCTGTGTGACTTTTTACTTAGAAATAAGTAGTCATTCTGATTAGCAAAATTTTCCTTGGTTTTCAAAATACAATACCTGCCCATCCTGATCCTTATAGGGACCGTATTTTTACGAGCATATTGGAACATTATTAAATACTAATTCAAGTAATTTTCTCCTTGAAAATGAACTGTGACGTTTATTATATTGTAATTCATTAGCTGTGGTATAAGTAGAACAAATCACTTTGAGGTGTGCAGTTATACAAATATAATTAACTTCAACTTAGTTGGCACGTTACACCAAGTTGTTGTTGATTTTTTCATACATCTCGTCGTGGTTTATCCCTTACATTCTGTACATGACAGTATGACGAGATTGGGATAGCAACTAACTGAGCAGTGCAAACAAAACACAAGGCATGTAATATGTAAACAACATGTAAAAACTACGAAGAAGTCAATAAATATGTGCAAACTACAAATAGGTAAGATATGGTGGTTCAGTACATGGGCGGTGTGAATCCTTAGTGAGAGTTTTTTAGTGCCTTGTTCAGCCTGGTTACTGCACAGGGATAAAAACTGTTCCCAAGTCTGGCAGTATGTGGTCTGACTGCCTTGTACTGTCTACCACAGGGGTGGGGCACCTTGTCCATGGAGGGCCGGTGTGGGTGGGCTGTCGCAATCACGTGACGATGTAATCACAATTATAGGGCACATGTGCAATACTCAACATAACTTTAGCTGACAGATGGAACTTCTGTATGGATGCCGACATTTCAGTATTATACGGATGTTTACTTACGCCGACGATTTGGTAAGCAGATTAGTAGTGTGCCTATAATAATAATAATGAGATGCATACTGTGATGGCCAAAAGTCAGGGGTCTGCATAAATTCGGCATATCCTTATATTTATTAAATTCAGTTAGCGGAGCATGCCACATACTACTGATTTGGTAAATCATAGAAGCAATAAGCACTGAAGTGGCAGTGAAGAAAGGGACAGCTCAACCACAGCATCTTTTGAAAGAAGAGATATTGTGGACAAAAAAGGTAAAAGGATGGTGATGGTGTGGTGGTACTTTTTGCAATTTAAACTCTGACACATTTATTAAACATAAGAATATACCGAACTTATACAGATCAATAACTTTTGGCATCACGATATTCCTCTCATTAATATTTTAGGCACACTCCTAATCTGTTTACCAGATTTTCTGTAAGTAAACGTCCATATAGTACTGAAAAGTCAGCGTCCGGACAAATGTTTCACCCATCATCTAAAGCCCTGGTGATTATTATACATGCGCCATAGTGACAGCCCTAATTGTGTGTTTTTGGCCATCAGCCAATAATAAAGCAGTGGTTCTCAACTCCAGTCCTGGGGACCCACTATTATTGGCTGATTGAGTGGTCATCCCAAAAACCCACACCCACACTGCCCCTCCATGGAGCAGGTTCCCCACCCCTGTTCTACCAGATGTTAAAGGTAGTGGGCACCACTTCTGCCTCATGCATCCAGCCATCCATTTTCCAAACTGTTTATCCTTTTTGGGTCGCGTGGGGACCGGAGCCTATCCCGGAAGCTACAGACACAAGGCAGGGAACAACCCAGGACGGGGGGCCAGCCCATCGCAAGGCACACTTACACACCATTCTTGCCTCATACATTCAGGGTAATTTGATTCCTTGTGCTTGTGGACTTTGCCATTTTGCTCCAGAACTCCAGTTCCCTCATGCAGTCTAAAGGGACCAGTCAGGATTCTCTAATGTGTGATTGTGTGTGATCTGGGTGTGCATCTCGTCCAGGGTGTTCCCAAACCTAAAAAAATTCAGCAGTGACATCTGTGTTCCACCAGGGGGTGTTGCAGACTTGCCTTTCTCAGCGTGTACCTATCCTACTGGCTCGTGGACTGGCACGGCTGGTGGTCCTGGATTCAGTTGCTGCTCTCTTCCGCTGTGAGTTTACAGCAGAGGAGTCTTCAGAGAGGGCCCGCCATCTAGTGGCCTTAGCCAGTACTCTCCAGCGCTTGAGTCACTCCTTCAATGCACCAGTACTCTGCATTAACCAGGTAGTGGAAGAGATGCTCGTTAATGCTCTTTAATATGCCTGCTAAGTACATGCTGTAAACCAGGAGTCTCCAACTCTGGTCTTGGAGAACTACTGTCCAGTAGGTTTTTTAGTAGATTTTTTATCCTACCTGGCTTTTGATGAGCCACACCTGTTCTGATGCAAATACCAGGAATACAGTAGGTGTGGCTCATCAGAAGCCAGGTAGAATGGAAAATCTACTGCACAGCAGCTCTCCAAGACCGGAGTTAGAGACCCCTACTGTACACGCTTTATGTGTTGCTGGTGCTTTTACTCTTCATTTAAGCTAATGTTTCTTGCTCTGTACCCAGGTGACAGATGTTGTAGAGCACTGTGATGCATCTCAATTTCGTTGTGGGTGAGTGTGACTGCTCGTTCATAATGTACAAAGAGACAGCCACAACTGTCTGTTGTGGGTGGTTTTTAATTTAATCAGACAAGATTTCTGAGCATGTGTATTGACCTTTGCCTATTTGGATGGTTCAGCTGGATGTTTTCTGTACCCCCAGGCTGGTGGAGTCCCCTGTACTACCTGCCCTAGGCATGGCCTGGGCAAACCAGCTGCTGGTGCGGCTGATGATGAGGCGGCTGGGGGGTGTCCCCAGCCTAGAGGCAGCGATTGGTGTCCCCCGGAGACTGGAGGTGGTGTATGCACCACACCTCCCACGGGCATCCTGCCTCTGCCACATTGGTGAGGAGGGTGTGAGAGGAGACCTCTCTCCAGACTCCGCCCACATTGTGTCATCTCACATGGACCTGTGAGGAAAAGCAGAGGTACAAAGTCATCAGTGAGGCTCCTCTCAATGACTGCCAGCAGTCTTAACACTTCAGCTAACTGAGGGCTCGACTCCTCCAGTAACTCACCAGGTGGAATCAGTGGAGGGGGCACTGTGGTCATTTCTCCTGGGAATACAGACCACAAGATGGAGAGAGCCCAACAGGGAGTGCTAGTGAAACTGCCTGGAAGACAGAGTAAGAAATGATGATATTTCTTGCATCAACTAAAGTGCACTTTTTCTGATACAAATACTTATGACTTTCACAAGTCTGAATAAAATAATGATGCACACAGCACCTTTGGGCCCACAGTCCCAGCATCCAACAGAACCGGATGGAACTGGAAGGCCAAGATGAAGAATTGCACCCTCAAGCTCCTGTTGCGTGGTTAAGTGGCATTAGTTTACTTGATTTTCAAGGAATTTCTCTATTGTCATTTTTTCTATTTTCAACTGTTCTGGTCTTTTGAAAGGCTGTATTTTCTTTTAAAAATGTAAAATATCCTGTGCCACAATGCACTTTTAAATATTGCGTTTTAATCCCAGGTTATAATAAAAAGCTACTTTAAGAGGTGTTACTCTACATTTGTTTCTGCAGAAATCTGTAGCACTTTATTGACAGTTTAACTTTAAACTTAAGGTTAACATTCAAAAGAACAAGGCAACAGGATTTTTTTCTGTACGTAAATGTGTATAGGAGGTCAACAGTGAAGTACTCCCAAAATGAGACCTACAAGCAACGAAATTTGATGATGTACAGTTAGTCCCCCTGTTATGAACAAAATCAGTTCCCTAAGTCTGTCTTTAATCCAGAAAAATAATAATACAGTACATAAATATTATGATTATGGTGATAATAATAATAGTAATAATAATAATATAATTATTCATTATTAGTAATCAGGACATTTCTGGCCAATACCGACAGCCGCTCATTTCGAAAACTAACACCAATATCGATTGTTTGGGAGGTTCTGCTTAAATAAATTTAAAGGGACACTCTACCCAAATAAATAAAAAATAATAAATTGCATTCCAAAAATATGAAAAAGTGGATATGTACTGTATACATCATATCTTTGTAAAAAAAAATAATAACATTTGTGACAGAGAAGGGGTGATCGAGTGTGATAAACTCCATAATTTTCCTAGTAATATCTTTTGATTTCACACAGTCTGCACTGAATTTTCTTTTGCTATCAATTGCAGTACTTACAGACTAGTATTATGAGGCAGTACTGCAGCCTTCTTTATTGGAACAGATTTGTTTTTTAGAGACGACTCATACTTTTTGCTCTCACCTTAAGCTGAGCAATCAGATTTGTTGTGTTGAAATATTTTTTAGTAGATCCTCCTCATGAAATTTTAACAGAGCAATGTTTGCAAAATGCATATGTAATGTTGTTTATTCTAACATTAATTCCACACAGCAGAAATGTTTTTAACTGTTTAGTATGTGGGTGTGCAAAGCCATATGGCTCACCTTTTTAAAGGGAATTATCAGTGGTAAATATTGGTCGATAATTGGTCAATAAAATCAGTGCATATCTAGTAATAATAAAAGTAACTACATATGGTATTGTATTGTACCTCGAGCTGACATGTCGCTGAAGTTGCACAATGTTTTCACGAGCATCACAAAATGGTACATGCGTTTGTTATTAACCATTGTATTTAAACTGAATTTTTAATCTAGTAGACTTTATAGCAGTCCTTTCATAAGTGTGAGTTGTCCATGACTCAGCTGTTTATAACCCAGGGACTGACTGTATTCCTGTTGCATGTTTATGTCCTGTGCTGCATCTCCAGCAAAATGCCTGTGTGTGTCAGTGATGATGGTGCCATCATAGGACGCCATCTTACCAACAAGTCACTTTGCCAAATTTCTGCCCTAATAACACACCATTAATACCCAATTTGAATGGCAGCAAATCCCACTAACAATTTTCCAGCATTTATTGGAAAGCTTTCTCAGAAAATCAGAGACTATTGTAGGAACAATGGTCAGGCCAACATAATTTGAATACCCTTGGTTGTAGAATGAGATTCTGGACAAGCTGCTATCCAAATTAATTTGGCCGTATAGTTTATTTCTCACTGCAGGAAAACATGACCGCTCTCAGCAGCCTGCCAGTCAGCCCAGGAACCTGGCTGCTAATCAATGCCATCCCCATTTTGTGTAGATGATGCCTGTCTTGGCCCCTACCACTTGTGCAAGCCCCCATTTTAAAAAGACAGTCATTTTGTTTGGCTTATGTCCTGAAATGGGGATCTGGCTTTTATTAGGGTAATGGGTGATATTGCTGGCAACAGGCAACCAGGTGAGACACAGGGAAACTAATCATGGCGAACAACCGTTAGGAACAACCAATCAGAGAAGAACAAATCTATTTCCAGAAAGGCCGTAGCCATGGAGTCAGCAATAGGGGGAACCAAGGCTGTAATTATAATATATACTGAGGGGACATTGTGAGCACATCTGAATATTGGGTGGGATGTGTCCCCCCCCCAGTATATATTGTAAGTATGGCCTTGATTACCAGGGAAACGGGTAAAACAAAACTTGGCACTGAAACTTTTGCAGCTGTTGCTTTTTTAAAAAAAAATCAATGAGCTGTCCTGCATTTATTAAAAGTGAATTAACAAGACACAATAAGGCAGCTAGCTAACACTCAGGTAACTCTGCATCGCATAGAAAGTCTGGAACGGTGGTCAGTTAGCATTTTGTTAAAATATTCAATGTCTAAATTACAGCTTGAGCTGTAAAATTGGATGTTTCTTGGCATTCTGAACATTAAATGGGGCAAATTACTGATTTTGGGTTTACTCGACAACTTGCCAGTGTAAAAAGATATAAGGAGATGCTCCTTGTCTTTGCTCTATTGCTACTGAGAGGCTGCCATTTTTGTTGAATATTTTTGAAGCTCCAAGTCAGTCACATGATTGGCTGCTAGCATTCTCATTGGAAGATCTCAGAAAGTTGCTCAGTGAGATCAAAATTGTCCAGTTGGAAATCAGTGTCCAAGCAACATTGCCAGGTGACATGACTCAAAAAGTTGCCTCACATATCACCATTACTGACAGCGGACAGTATAAGAGTTACCAGGTCAGTCATCAGGAAAAACCTTCACATGAGCAAGAAGCCTAAACTGTTCATACTCAAATGGGTAACTGAAGACAAAATATTTACACTACTGTTTAGGTTCAGGTAAGTTTTTGTCCTTCTCCTAGATCTCTGTGGGGTTTACTAGATCTCTCAGGGCAGTAGTGGTGACTATGGTGTCCCCCATCTGAGGTAATAAAGTGAAATTGACTGAAAAGTTGGTGCCCCATACGAAGTTGGCCGCCTGTCCCATAGTGTACATGGCTCCCGCCCTTAGCCATTTGCCTACTTCCTGTCTCTCTCTGTCACCAATAGGATTGATGGGCCTGTCCCAGTGTTTACATGGCTTCCACCCCCCACCCCCTGCTGACATGCTCTTTGCTCACTTCCTGTGTCTCAGTTGGTCATTATGTGTGTTTCATGTGATGGGAACCTTGTGTAGGTTGTGCTTTCAGGATCCAGGCCCCCTACCATCTTACTCTGTATATGCAGGTGAAAGATGAATAGATAATTGGTCAAAAGTGCAGTTGGGGCATGCATACCCTGGCAGATTCAAGGGGACTTCTGCAGGGAATTTCAGCTGTCCCCCTTTAAATGCATTTTAACCTGCATTAATGCAGCAATGACATAGCACCTCAAAATGAGACATACATAGTAAATCTGGTGATACCAAGCAGGGCCATTTCCCTCACATATGATAGTGAAAGGTTTGGACACATCAAGCTTACAAAGGAGAGTGATAGAGTGTTGCATCACAACCTGTCCACCTGACCTAAACACAGTAGAAATGGTTCTGGAGGAGTTTGTCCAGAGAATGAAGGGAAAGTGGCCAATGAGTGTTAAGCATATATGTGGGACCTCCTTCACGAGGGCTGGAAAAGCATCCCAGGCCACCTCATGAAACTGGCGTAGTCCAGCCTGTCCTTGGAAGAATTGGGGTTAAGGGCCTGCTCAAGGGCCCAATGGTGGGATCACTCTGCTGACCTAGGGATTTGAACCAGTAACCTTCTGAGTCCCAACCCACAGAGCTACCCTGTCCACCAAATATTTTTTTTTGGTCAGTGCATAATTTATTTTATAAGTTTGATGTCTTTAAGTGTATTCTAAAATTTAGAAAATACTACTAATATACCTTTATATGTATGGGTCATTGTGTCCAAACTTTTGACTGACACTGTACACTACTTTCAATCAGCGCATTTGTCCTTGCCACCCAGATTGATCTGTGCCTTGTGCTGCCTGGGACAGGCACCTGACCCACTGTGACCCTGACCTAGACATGTGGATGGATATGGGTATTGATTTATTGAATTTATGTCAAAAGTGGGTGCTTTTTAAAGTTCATATCTGAACATTTGATGTGCAGTAAATTTGTTCTGTAACATAGTACTTTATCCTACTCTATTTATAGAATTTTAATTAGAGTGCTTAATTTAATTTAGTTACACCAATCTTTGTACATTATTGTGTGAGCTATAGACTATTTCAGACTGAATGCCTCCATTTTGTACCGTCATTGTTGTTCCTCTCTGAAGTCAACAGATGGCACCAAATACCAAGCCTGTCCACAGAGCTCTTTATCAGTGATTCTCCAGTACATTGAACTGAACGCTCACAAAGTCCAGTGTGAGAAAGGAACTGGAGAACTTAAACCCCTGGACTTCAGTGAAAGAGGTTTGCTTCCTCCTGTGAGGCCACCCAAGGGGGATGTAGCTTGAGCAAGTTATGACTGAACCCCTGGTGCTGAGGGTGCTGTAAAAGCTGCTGATCCTCAGGTCTTCATGTCCATCAGATTAGGGCTGAGACCCTCAGTTATCCTACTGCTTGTATGAGTAATACAGTTCACAATCCTGTCTAAATGAAAGGTAGCTAAATGGAAAGTAACAGGAAGCCAGATGTGTACTCTCTACACCTGCTAACTTCAGGTCCCATGATGCACTTGTGCACAGTAGTGCTTCAAATGTACCTCCCCATAAAAGTGGGCAGTGAAACTAGGTCACATCTTATGCTGGCCCTCCCAGTGCTGCCACATGGGTACATCTGATAAGTGAACTCACAGGCATGCTGGGAATGAGGTGCCAGTCAATCATTGATCAGTGTGACCTGCAGGCAAGCTGCATGGATGCATTGTCATCCACCAGGACAACTTAAGTGAGAAAACCCCCAAGCTACTATAGGGTTTTTGCAGATTTGCGGATCTATGTGTCCCAGGGTGAATGACAAGCAGTGTGATCCTGGACTTTTGATATGAGATTGGTGAACATATTAGAGATGCAAACTTTGCTGACACTAGCACACTTTGGCATATAATAATTCTGGCTTCCTGAGTACAAGTATGACAACTAATAATTCTATGACAAAAAAAATGTTTCAACACCTTAAAAAGCCCTTACCAGTTATATACAATAACGTGGACTGGTGCAAATCACAACAGTATCAGTTCTGGAAGAAACTTAAAGGACATAAAATCAAGTTTCATTACCCAGGACTGATATAAATTACAAGGTATTTTGGATAAAAATATACAATTTTTCAGTTCTAAATATGTGTAGTACACTGCAAAATTTATGCAAATGCTTTAGAATTCAACATCTGTTGATTACATACTATCAATTCAGGGTGAGGACATTGTATGTCAATATCAGTGGGTCACATATCCTTTTACTTTTAATCATGCTCCCTAGATATCGATAGCTATGGATGGATATGGATATCGATAGCTATGGATAGTGGCTCACATATCCCAGGTATCGACAGTATGGGGTTCTTTGCCCTTGACATCACCTGACGGTGATGTGCTGCAAATTCCTGCTGCACTGTTGTAAACCTTACTTGCCTTTCAGCCAAATATTTTTGGGGAAAAATACAGAAAGATACATGGACATACTATAAAGATACACAGTCTGCTAAAGGGTCCTTAAAGCTCTCCCTGCTTTGCTCAGTCCTGTCTCCATGGCAACTGTCACATGGGCTCACTGCCCCATTTTCCACCAATCCACTTACAGCTCAATCACAGAGAATCCGGTCTACATCACCTCCTTCCCTGCTCCCCCCTCCAGCGCATCCATTCAGTGGCTCAGCACTGCAGTGAAAACAGCAGTTACATAACACCTCTGTGTCAGAGAGCCTGCTTACGTGTTGCCTGAATGACTTACAGTTACGTTCAAAGGAAATGTTTCGTGTAGGTGTCGTGCAGTTTTTCTGCCCCTCTGTGACACATATGCATGCTTATGCTAGGTTGCTTGTTCTTACGATTGCACTTTACATAACTGCGTCCTTGGTGCTGGTATGCAGTGTGCACATATGTGGCTACAAGTGCTGCAGCCAGTTGAGTATGTACAGCTGACCTGGATCAGATGCCAAGACAGAGGGAGCAGGTGTCATGGACACATGGAGTGGAGATACAGGTAAAGGCTTAACCTTTAAGAGCATATCGTTAGGTAGAGCTTTTATAAATGGGGGTGCCAGCAGAGGACAACTCTTACAAACATGGCTGCCACCTGTTTTATGGAGCTTAGGTCCTGTGGTATATATGAATGACCATCCCCCAACACCACCCCCATAGATGGCCAGCTGAGTAAGCAACAGCAGCCATGAATTTCAAGGGGCTCCGACAAATTTTGAGAGAGGTTCAAACTTGTTATTTAAGTAGTTGGCTACATGCCTGAGCAGCAGATTGAACAAAATGTTACATACCAGGAGATGTGAGGGCTTTCAGTTGTACTGGCTTCCAACCTCGGGGGCGTCCTTCAGTGACAGAGGTTAGCGCTCCAGTCCCACCCAATCGCTCATCTTCTCAAGGCTTACACAGCCAATCAAACTGCTTCCTTTAGCAGCCTTGTCTAAGTGGATGTTCGCTTTTTACATGGCTCAGAATGTGCCCCACTATGAGCTTATAAACAGCAACAGGCCACAGCTGGTCAGTAACCACAGCAACAGGGACGACAGCCACTCCAGCTGGCATCCAGCACCGCAGTCTTGTCCAGTTTCTTGAAATCCAGTAGACCGTGATACTGACAGTGTACAGTATGAGTGTATGTAGCACATTACATTGAAGTCACATGATGAAATGTACTCCAAACTGAAATAAATGGTGCTGCATTTGCTGACCGACATGCCAGTCAAATAGGGGCAAATGGAGGTCACAGAGTGACGTCACATTAGGTGGATGTTTCGTGCCTGTTGTACATACATACCACCAGAGGTGGCACTGTGAGCTTGACAGGGGGTGAGGCCATACAGCTTGAGACCAGCAAAGTGTTGCCTAGAGCTTCCCAAAGCCCTGCTCTCAATGTTAGCATGGTGACGTGCTCCCGAAATATATTGACGTGCGGTGTAAGCTCGCTGGTGCATGATCAGTGCTGACGCTCAAAGATGTGTGTTGATGCGGAGAAGACTAGAGTAATGTAGGACATCCCGACGCTCAGACATTCATTTAACCATACAGCTGATTCCTTAGCCCTGCAAACATCCCATACTAGCATTTCTTGCCAGTTAGAAGCTCCTCCGGCTGCAGCATTCAGCTCACGCACAAAAGGCGTCTCTCTCTGCCTCATGGCTGGTTAGGCCCTTTGTACCCTGCCCACATCAGGATGCAGTCTCAATCCACAGGCAGAAAACAGAGCAGCAAAATGGCAGCCGCAGAGAGTTGACTGCCACGTCAGCCTGCCACATTACGCACTCTTATAGCTCAAGATCAGGTGGGGGGGGAGAGCAGCTATGTGATTCAGAACAGCCCCACTGCATCTCCATGCACACATGCTTGCTCACATGGACTCAGAAAAAAAAACTTCCAAAATGTTTTAGAAAAATATTTAATGAGCTAGGGGCATTGTGGGAAGTCTTTGTTTCTATGGAAACAGATGGCAGAGCTGGTCAGAGCCTCAGTGTCAGACCCAGAGAAAATGTGTGTGTGTCTGCGTTGGTGTTTGTGTCTGTCACTCTTTGAGATGTGAATGGCGAACAGGTGCCCCCTGGCGTTCCCACCCACTATCTAGATCGACTCCCACCTCAATAGCTACATTTACAAGACATTCTTTTGACCTGTGTTTTGAGTTAGTCTGCTATTTCTGCCCATGTAATTTGTGATTATATTTCTTCCATTTTTATCTGTAACGATTGCCTTTTGTTTGTTTATCATTCCTCTTTAAAGCATCCTTGGGTTGGTGAAAGGCACTATAAATTATATTTGTTTCTGTTACTGATATCACTTAATATAACTCAAGGAACACAATGGACACATGTTATGAAGTGCAATAATGATAATCTCCGGTTTAACATGCTGTACTTCTTTTATTACTATCTAATAATATGCCTGTCAGTTAGTAATCTATTGATCTACAATAACCATTTTTTCAGGTCAGGGCACAAGGAAGGGGGTGTTCTGGATGGCATATCAGAGCACACACACATACACACACAGTTAAACAACAGGCGCATTAGGGGCAGCTTTTCACCTAACACCACGTCTTCTTTAACATCAAGAGAAAATGGGAGCATCCTGAGGAATGTTGCACAAACTCACACAGAGACCTGCACTGTCAGAAAAAAACTGGATCTTTGAGGGTACCATTACTTGTCACTGGGGCTGTACCCTCCAGGATCTACCAGGTGTATCCTAGCTGTAGGTAAATTTAACTTTTAAGGTACAGAAATGGACTCTGATGAACATTTTTATAGCATCGTGGGTACATTAATGTTGTTTTTACCTAAAACTAAACTAAAACTGTAATATGACTGGACTCTTTTTTTTCTAAGTGCACAGGATTCACATCCCCAGCACTACAGGTATAAGGCCACTGTACTACCTGCAGAATTTTTTTTTTGTTTGCTGCAGAAGGTCTCTAAATATTTCAGTTTGTGCAGTACTGTCCTGAAATAATGTACTCCTTGCACAAACTGAACTGGAAAGCACTTTTTTTAATAGTTCTGTCAGCCACTAAACATGGAGGAAGGTGTGTTAGAATGTGCTGTTTGCATGTTTGGAGTGCATGTATTGTTCTGTACCACACTCTGATTCTTCACCACCATAGAATAAATGCTACAATCACACCTGTGACCAGAGGGGTCATATCATATGGCGGTAAATGATCCTCCCGCATAACCCAGAAGCTTCAATAACAGTGAAGCTCAGTGAGTGAATGGTGGACTAGAGACATAAATAATAAAAAGTGTTTTTGGCTGAGTGGCCCTGACACTAAGACCATGTTTGTGGAGCAGTGGTGATGGTGGGCAGAATGGATGGGGCAGCTCTCAAATAACTGAGCCCAATGAGATCTCCAAGGAGAAAGTGATAATAACAATCTGACCGGGCCTCCTCCTGACTGGCTCATCCAGGGCCATCCAAGCAGGGAGTCAGAACAGCCAGACTGCATTACACTGCATAATTTAGCCCCCAGGCTATAAGCCCTGCCAGCACCCCCTGAAGTGTGGTCTCAAGTCCTGCCTATTCTGAAGCGTGTCCAATAGTGTACCATGTGCTGCTACTCAGTCCGGTTCCACATCCCACAACAATAGCTGCGAGCACTCCCTAATCACCCTACAGTTTGGCATCCACATTGCTGTACAGTAGATAAACAATCCAGCCTTTCATCTGCGGTAGCGACCTCCTTTTTGTGTCATAGTGGAGTGTGTTGTGCATATAAGTGCAACATTTGAAGGGTTCAGTTCATTGGTCTGGAAGGGGCCTGCCTCACACTGCAGGATCAAACAGTTGTCTGCATTGTTTAACACTCATGAAGCGTGAAAGGCACCTTCTGGAACATGCCTCATATTCTACTACACAGTGGGAATAATATTAAATCTCAATACTACTGACATATGAATGGTATATATTAAAAGCATCCACCTTAAATCCTGTCACCTACAGTACTATGAACCCAGCTAGGTTCCCTATGGCAGGGAGCCTCGGAGTTTGTTATAGATCAGGACTGGCACCCAAGCCCCACGGCAGAAGCTTTGCAGACAGAGAGGCAGTAAATGGCCACCAACTGCCAGTAGTGAAGATTAATGCAGAATCATAATGCTTTTAAGAACATAAGAACATAATGCTTTTGTCAGTTATGGGCAGGAACACACATTCAAATCAATTCTCAACCTAACCAAAATGAGTGTGATTTTTTAGCTAAACCAAACCAAACCTTGGTCATGGCCACTCTAGCCATTTTTATTTATTTTTTGCTTTTCTTTCTAGACAGTCCAAAGGCGACCACTGTATGAGTTCCAGCAGCAGTTCCTAGTAAAGTGCCACTAGGGACAACTTAAGGGTAGTAAGTGGCTCAGCAGGCTAAGACTGTGCTTGTGATCAGAAGATCACCACTTGGAGCTTTGGCAGAACAGTCACATGTCCGTGGACCCCTGAGTAAGGCCCTTAACGCCCAGCTACAGGGGCGCTGCACACTGGCTAACACTGTGCTGTGATCCTCAAACTTGTTGTCACCTGCATGTGTGCCTCATGGAGCTCAGGATGGAGCAGGTTAAGGAAAGCATTTCCATGTGCATAAACTTGTGTAAATAAAAGATTCTTTAATATTATTCGACCAAACGTAGCTACAGTAAGGGCTACTGGCTAAAGGCAGGCTTCTGTGCCAAATGCAAAGAGCCGACCACATTAAGAGCACAGGTCTTGGGGATCAGTGGCAGAGAAACAGGAGGACTGCAACAGATTGGCAGCAATGTAGAGGAGGAAATTAAACCTTTACATGTGCTGGAACAACACATACCATGGAAGACTGGGAGGATTGGTTTCCATCATTTAGTGCACATCATGTTCACCTCACATGTGAAAGGTCCTTGGTTTGAAACTGAGTGCAAATATACTTGCTATGTGGTAGTGTGTGGCTCTGTGGGGTATGATTCTGTGGCTATGATTGAAGGTCACCGCTTCAAATCCTGTATTAATCGAGGTGATTTCAGTGTTGAGCCCTTAACCTTAATTGGTCCTGGGAGCTGCTCACCCTGCTTTCTCAATTGTCTGTCATACTGAACAAAAGCATCGGTTAAATAAATCAAATGTAAAGGAATCTTTTGCTCTCAAGGCATCAAAGTCTGACATTTCTTAATAGAGATGAGGTGATCTTGTCTCAAATATACTTTTGAACTAAGTGCACACAGGGAGGGGAAGTTAAGACAAATCCAAGGGCCTTTAAGTGACAGGGGCCCCAACATTTGGAATATAACTGGATTGAAGGCCCAATATATTGTGCTTTCATGGGGTCCAATATCTCTAGCGGCACCACTATGTACACACTAAAGCTCTCTGATATATCTCGACACAGTGTTGATGCCAACACATGATGGACTACACTACCATCGAATTACCCATACAGTAGCTCCGCTTATCTCCTCCCACCTGGCTCATTGTTACTCATAACTCCTCCTCTCTCCTTCAAGCTATCTGGCTGTTACCTGGGAAAAACAAATCACAAACTGTAACTCCAAAAACAGCCACAACAGTCCATCAGAGGGCTTGTTTCTGTAAACCAATATTGTCCTTTTCAATAGGAATTTATATTGTCTCCCTTACAATTCCCCAAGGCATGTGGTACAGATCATGGTTTAAAATAAAGAGACAGGATCGGATAACCTTGATAGACTGGTCACCATGGTAATGACAGCCCTCAAATTCCATCCCTCTTGCCCCAGTCCCAGTCCAAAGAATCCCAAGTGATCCAAAACCATTTACCAGCACATAAGACTTTTTGTGACGTTTACATATTTGAAATATGAGAGGGAGAGAGTCTGAATGTATAACTGCCTGTGTTTGTGTGTGTGTGTGTGTGTGTGTGTGTGTGTGTGAGCGGGTTTACCTATCCTTATGGGGACATAATGTCCCCATAACGTGATAAATATCTGTTTTTTTTCCCGGTCCCCATAAGGGAAAACTCTATTTTAGGGTAGGGGTTAAGGTTGTCATAGTTAGCGTTAGCATTTTTCCCATTGAAATGAATGAGCGGTCCCCATAAGGATATGTTTACCCTACATGTGTGTGTGTGTGTGTGTTTGTGTGTGTGTG